GAAAAGGGGGTAGTCTCTTTTATAGGGATAAACAACTTGGTAATTTTCCAGATTAAGAGTCTGTATCCAGTCCTGACACAAAACGAAACCAGTGAACTCTGCGCCAGGACCTGTGCTTGTGACTTCTGTGCCTTCTCCCCCTGCTGCCAGACCCCTCACTGAGAGAAACTGTGCTTAGTTATCTGTCTTAGCCATCTAGTGCTGCTCTGACAGAAATACCAGGAGTGGATGGTTTTAACAAAGAAAAGTTTATTCTCTCACAGTCCCGTAGGCTACAAGTCCAAATTCAGGGCATCAGATCCTCTCTCTCTCTCCACTCTGGAGAAAGGTCCTTGTGATGCATCAGTCTTCCCTTGGTCTGGGAGCTTCTCTGCGCAGGAACCTCAGGTCCAAAGGATGCGCTCTGCTCCCAGCACTGCTTTCTTGGTGGTATGAGGTTCCCATGTGTCTCTGCTCATTTCTCTCTTTTATATCTCAAAAGAGATTGCATTAGGACACTATCTAATCTTGTCGACCTCATCTGTATAACCTCATCACAGTGAAAGAGTTTACAACACATAAGGAGATCACATATAATCTCATTATAGTGATAGAGTTTACAACACATAAGGAAATCACATCAGATTACACAATCATACAACACTGGGAATCATGACCCAGCCAGGTTGCTACACACATTTTTTGGGGGATGCAATTAATCCATGGCATTATCATTTTTGAAACGTTCTTTTTCCTTCATTCCTTTCTCATACTCAACCTGTGCTAAGAGGGTGGGGGGATGCCTGCCATATTCCAAGCTTGGGCAAGTGCCTGGCATGCAGCAGAAGCTTGGCAAATATTTGTTGAATGACCAGACCATGGTCTGTGGCCTTGGTGTAGGATTGCAAATTAGTTGACTTAAAAATACAGGATCACAGCCCTCTGGAATTTAGCTGCTCCCTAGAATTTACTTCCCATTTAATCTTTTAATAAGGAGATGTTTAGCCTGGAAGGGATTTTTGTAGATTCTTGGCTCCATCTCTTTTCTGTTATTGCTCCCTACAGTCTCCTTGGTTTTTAATCTGAGAAACCCTGCTGCTGTCAAGTTGATTCCGACTCATAGCGACTCTATAGGACAGAGTAGAATTGCCCCATAGTGTTCCCAAGGAGCGGCTGGTGGATTTGAACTGCTGACCTTTGGTTAGCAGCTGAGCTCTTAACCACTGCACCACCAGGGCTCCTTAATCTGAGAAGGAAGCATAATTGTTACATAAGCATGTCTCAGTTACTTACATGTGAGTGATCCAGGGAAAATTCCTCTTTCTAGACCAGCTTGCTGCTTTGATTTTCCCCTGAGCCTCTGTGACTGTTGCCTGTGGCCTGCTGATGTGAGGGAGCGTAAGGATGGTGTTAAGTCTGATAGACAGACTCATGGTGACCTGTGTACAGCAGAACAAATAGTTGCCCAGTCCTGCATCATCACCAGGATTGCTGCCATGTTCGAGTCCATCACTGCACCTGTTGTGCCCATCCACCTCACCCAGGGTCTCATTCACCTTTGTTGGCCCTCTACTTCCCTCCCAATGGTGTGTTCAAAGCAAGCAAGTCGGACAGTGTTCTGTTGTGATCGATAAAGTTTTCATTGGCTAGTTTTTGGAAATAGATCTCCAGGCCTTTCTTTCTAGTCTGGAAGCTCTGCTAAAACCTGTCCACTGTGGGTTACCCTGCTGGTATTTGAAATACTAGTGGCATGGCTTCCAGCACCATAGCAACATGCAAGCCACCACAGTGTGACAAACTGGTTGGTGGTATAACCCAGGAGAATATATATATGCTATTGTATATGGAGATCCTGCTGGCTTAGTGGTTAAGAGCTATGACTGCTAACCAAAAGGTTGGCAGTTTGAATTCACCAGGTGCTCCTTGGAAACTCTATAGGGTAGTTCTACTCTGTCCTACAGGGTTGTTATGAGTTGGAATCGACTCGACGGCAGTGGGTTTTTTTTTAAACGGATTTATTGTATATGTGCAACCAGCCATTTCATGGGTGTTTAATGATGGGCTTTGGTTTCTCTGATTCCTCAAATAGAACAATCTTGCCCTCTTGGTCGCAATAGTGAAAGCAGCCTCAGATCTTTGCAGTCAGATCCTGTTAGACCAGGAAGCACCTTAGAGATGATCTACCTTAGTCACCATTGGACAGGAAACATGGAAAGGTTCGTAAGCACCAGGACATCGGTTAGCAGTGACAGACTCAGACTAGAGCCCAGGTCTTGCTGGAATGATAACGCTTTCAAGTGTCCTTTTGCCCTGCCACCCTCCCATCCCACATCTGTGAAATTCTAGTCTCTTATTGTGAATGTCTTAGTATATGCTTTAATAGTCTTTGGACAGTTAATACTTAAAGATGAATGTAGAAACAAAGACGACCTCATTTTCTTCTTTTGTTATGGCTGCTAGCTAGCTCATTGTGGATTAGAAAGAACAGGACAAGCAGAAAGATGTAGTGTGTGTTTTAAGTTTCTTTGAAAATTAGTCATTGAGGATTCTGCCAAGTTATTTTAATCCACAGCTTTTTCTTTCTTTTTTTCTTTAACAAGTGACAGCAAAACTGGGATTGTCTGGAGTTTTGCACTGGCAGATAGAATGCTCCCAAGGACCCTGAGGCCTCCCTGAAGCTAGGGAGTGAACATATTGTGCTGAGACTTCTCCAAACAAACCAAACCCACTGCTGTCTAGTGGATTCTGACTCAGAGCGACCCTATAGCACAGAGTAGAACTTCCCCATAGGGCTTCCAAGGCTGTAATCTTTATGGAAGCAGACTGCCACATCTTTCTTCTGTGGAGCAGCTGACCTTTTGGTTAGTAGCTAAGCGAGTGCTTAGTCACTGCACCCCTAGGGCTCCTTGATATCTCTCCAGGATTACTTTATTAACTGACCTGTCAGACTTCACCAGGGCAGTACAGTAAAAACTTACTGAGATAATTTATAATCGGCATACCCTTCCCAGGGTCTAAAAGCAATGTACTTGAGACTTGGAAGATTAGGAATCGTTTTATACCCTGTAAGGTGTTCTTGCAAGTTCTGTAGCAGCTACTCCATGTGTATTTGTCACACCAGTCCAGTGAGTAGTGGGAGCAAATGTTTGCTTGGATGATAACTGGCTGTGAGGGTGGCGAGATGAGATGGCTGGAAGAGGGTCCCAGAAAGGTTTTATGGTGGGGGGAGGGGGGCATAAATCATCACATTTTAATTGCTTTTCCTCTCTTGGTCTTAAAGATGTTTAGGACTTTTCCTCTTCTTTCTGAGTTGCTTCTCAGGTTTGAATCTCATCACACAGCCTTTCTTTATCTAAGTTTTCAAACACCCACACCCAGAACCTTGGGGACCTGATTGATTTAGTGGAAAGAACATAGAGGACCTGGATTAAAATGGAGTTTGGTGCTTTAACTAGTTGGGTTGTACTTGGAGAAGCCACTTGACTTCTGTAAGTCTCAGAGTTCTTATCTGTAAAGTGGGGATGCTGATTGGCTCATTTTGGGGAGGGTAAGTGGGAGGATCCTGTGGAGGTAGTTAGAGGTTTCATTTAGTCAGGGTTGGTAGGCATGGGGATCAGAGTGCAGCTGAGTTCCATTTACTTCCACATAACACTTAAGTTTCTTTTGGCAGGGTAATTTACTTCTTAGAACTTGATGTCTTCATCTGGAAACTGGGAATAATAATATATACTTGGTTAGATTGTTGGGAGAATTAAACATGATACAAGGCAGATGCCTGATATACTTGGCTTTGTCAGGGTCACAAAACATGGCAGTTTGGCTCATTGTGAGCCCATATTAGCCATAGCATGTTATGGACTGGTTGAGCTGTAGACAATAAATCATTAGTGAATTCTTCACAGTGAGAAGAAGAGCATTTAGCAAATACCTCCCTAACTCTCCACCCCCACCCTCCCCAGGTGTGTGTGTGGGGGCGAGGAAGTCTGACTACTTGTGTTTTCACATGGGGGTTTGTTTGGAAGATAAATTACCCTCTGGTAGTTGTGTATAGTTTGGTGGGTCAATAATAGTTCCAGTTAATATTTATTAACTGCTATGCAGTAGGGTTGGTGTGAGTCAGAATTGACTCAACAGCAGTGGGTTTGGTCTGGTTTTGTACCATACTTTTTACGTCCCTGCACCTATGGTTTGCACTTGTTTAGTAACCAAAAGCTTGGTGGTTTGAATCCACTCAGTAGTACCGTGTAAGAAAGGCCTGGTGATTACGTCCGTAAGATTGTTGTTGTAAGTCATTTCCAATGCATGGTGACTCCATGTGTGCAGAGAAGAACTTTTCCATAGAGTTTTCAAGGTTGTGACCTTTCAGAAGCAGATCACCAGACTTGTCTTTTGAGTAGCCTCTGAGTGGGTTTGAACCGCCAGCCTTTCGGCTAGTAGTCGAGTGCTTAACCATTTGTGCCACCCAGGGAACCCATCCTTAAGATTACAGCCATTGGAAACCCTGTGGAGTGCAGTTCTACTCTGACACACATGGGGTTACCATGAGTTGGAATTGACTCGACAGCAATTTTTTTTTTAAACTATACTTTTTGCTGATAAATATTGTAAAGCTGTAAGACCATAAAGTTAATAGAAAGAGAAAGCCTTTGATATGTGTCTAAATGTTGTTTAAAACAGAAATGGCCAACAGAGCAGGTGTTCTGAGGGTATGGTGTTTTTGCAGAAGGGAAATTAATAAGCAAGACAATTTTTCAAAATGATAGCTAATGAAGTGTAGCTTTTAGTTGCGGACATATTAATTTTTTTTTATATGTTCCCCAGGAAGACTATAATCCTGAAGAAAATGAACCATAATTTGTGGGTGAGCTTGGAGAGTTTGAAACAGAGGAGTATGTGTGTGTTCATGTGTTTCAAAGTAAAATGCACCAGGTTGTTCTTGGGTGGAATGTGACAAGAACCTTGGCTTATCTGCATTTTTTTTCTGTGATTGTTATGTGTGGCATGACTTGTTTTTCTTCTAGGATGTGGAGAAAGAGAAGGAAACGTACAATTACCTCAGCAAAGAGGAAATCAAAGAGAAGGTTCATAAATACAATTTAGCAGTCACAGACAAATTGAAGATGACCTTGGTAAGCACTCACATTACTGTTTAGGTTGACACTTGTGAAAAGACAAATGTAAGTTGCTGGTACGACAGTTGGTATATTTTTAAATCTCTGAATAACATCCACAGAAGTTTAATGGTCCAGGTATGTAAGACAGGAAAATGGAATATTTTTGCATTTTTCAAATTAAATTTATATTTAGAAATACCTTTTTCTCAATCAGTTGCTGGGTTGGCTTTAAAAAAGGGAAACACTCCTTGAAAATTGATTTAGAAAAAAAAAATTGGACCCCAAAAGATTTTTAACATTGAATGTAATCATTGCCCATTTAGCATGCATGTATGTACTTATGTATATATATATATATACACGCACACACACATACATAATGTACATGTAGTAACTCAGATTTTAACAAGACCTCAGACACAGCTTGTATAAATAGATTTGTAGGTGTTACAAAAAGGATTTTGTGCCCATGGATTAGAATACAATTGAGCTGGGATTTTTTTCAGCTGGTTGTCAGTGTAAACTGAGGTATATAACATTCACCTTCCTACCCATTATTGTTACAGGTTTCTACAACATTGTACCACACTGTTTGAAGCACAGTGGGGAGTGAAGGTGTAGGAGGGAGAAAGGGACAGGACTTAGGGACAGTGAAACAAGAGCTGACAACAAAGATAGTGTGTTCATGTTGCCCTGGACTGAGCTGGGCCTGTGTCTTGCCCACCCACTTGGTGACCTTCCACATGGCACCTGCCGTCTCTTGGTGCTAGTTTCCAGGGCCCGCAGACCCTTGCCACTCAGTCTGTTGTCTCTGAACTGACAGAGTTCAGCAAAGGACAGGGTGACCCGTTTAAAACAGGCTCTACTGAATTCTGTGACTCTTAGGGGAGGAGCTTTTAAATATAAACCCTTGTGGTAAAGGATCCCTCTCCTTTCCCCAAGGGGACTCCACCAAGGATGAGGATGGGGTCAGATAATCCCAAGATTATTCATTATTCCACCAGTGATATTTCTCCTTTTTTTCAGACACTTTTTTTATGAAAGGAGAAAATTCCACTTGCTGTATTCCCCCTCACACACACAGATCAAAACAGATCCAAGTTTCCACATTGTTTTATACACAAAAATTTTAAGTATTGTACAATACTTTCTATAAGAATTAACAAGTGCATTAGTATTATAAACTGGTGTTATGGAAAAGAAGAAAAATAATGGACCAAAAAAAGGCTTTTAATTCTTTAACTGTGTCATTTATAACACCTGAGGATTTATTTTAATAAAGTATTACAATCATTGTTTTCTAAATACACTGAATTTGAAAAAAAGTGAAAACAAGACCATTTATTAGTATTTTTGGCAATTTACAAAGTTGTAGTTTTACCATAAATTAGGACAAGTGCTTATAATATCTGTAGCTCACATTTTAGCTAGAATTTGTTTTAAAAATATTGTTGCTTGAAATGCCTGAAATGCATCATTATGTATCCCATGTGATAGGGAATATATGCTGTGTGAAAAAAGTGTAAGCAAAATTTGTAATCTAGTACATACCATAATAGCCACTGGGAATGAAAATAATCTTTTTTTTAAAAAAAAACATTTCATTGTGCTTTAGGTGAAAGTTTACATAGCACATTAATTTTTCAGTCAGTGATTCTTGTGCAGATTGTTTCATGACCTTGAACTGTAATCCCCACAATGTGTCAGTACTCTCCCCATAACCTGTTTTCTTACCGTCAACTCGTTGTTTACTTAGGTAGTTCACAGTCTTGTGACCTCCCTTGTTTGTGTGATAGTTATTAGGTGAGGATGATGTTTCCTTTGAGCGTTTAGCCTAGGCATATTCCCCAAGCCCTGATAAGCTTTGTGGTTTGGCTAGCATTGGTTCCAGCGGAGTTGTCCCCTCGCACCTGGGCCCTGACCTTTCACATGTAGCCGCAGAGGCGGGAGTGATCAGGGCCCAGATCTCAGCCCTGATCAGGGGGCGTCTTCAGTCACCACATCACCCTTCAGATCTTGCCTCTGAAAGCACTTTGCTGGGGTGTGTTGTTCTCCCTCTGAGGTCATTCCTTCAGAGGAAATGGCCAGTGAAACTGTGCCACCAAGCTATAAAAGAAAAGGACAAAGGAAAGAGTGTTTCACCTTCCTGTTTTGATGAGCTCTGTTCTGGCTTGAATTGTGTCTCTCCAAAATACGTGTTGGAACCCTAACCCCTATGCCTGTGGATGCAGTCCCATTTGGGAGTAGAGTTGTCTTTGTTAGTTAATGAGGCCATATCAGTGTAGGGTAAGTCTTAACCCTAATCACTTTTGAAATATAAAAGGAGCAGATTAGACACAGAGAGAAGCAAGGAAGCACAAATGGGGGAAGGCTAGATGTCACATGGAGATCACCAAGGAACCTAGGAACGCAGGAGCTAGAGAAGCTTGAGACAAACATTTTCCTCAGAGCAGACAGAGAGCCTTCCTCTAGAGCTGTTGCCCTGATTGCAGACTTCTAGTCTCCTAAACTTTGAGAAAATAAATTCCTGTTAAATTCCGTTAAAGCCACCCACTTGTGGTATTTCTGTTACTGAAGCACTAGGAAATTAAATCCCTTTCCCTAAAATGCCACTCTCAACCCACTAAGTGTGTTCTTTTCTTACCTCTTCAGAATTCAAATGGGATTTACACTGGCTTCATTAAAGTACAGATGGAACTCTGCAGACCTCCACAGACTTCTCAGAATCCTGGAAAACTCGCTGCCACTAGCAATGGCTGTATGAATACACTTCATATCAGCAGCACAAACACTGTCGGGGAAGTGATTGAGGCCCTGCTCAAAAAGTTTCACGTGACTGATAGCCCTGCCAAGTTTGCACTTTATAAGCGTTGCCACAGGGAAGATCAAGGTACCCAGGCCATGCTTAATCAAAGTGGTTCTGTTTTTGTTTGTCTTTTGTCCTCATTAGTAGAAAGAAGACTTATGGGAGTGTCTGTGTCAGTGATGTCAGAGCCTGGGGGACAGATTCTGTAGCCCGTTGTGATGGGGCATGCCCTTAATGTTTCCTGAGTTGGACAGTTGTAGGTCTGAGGGAGCACAGAGGCATCCACGTGTGATGGGCACTTAGGGAAGGCTTTGTGATGTATGGAAACCCTGTTGGTGTAGTGGTTAAGAGCTACGGCTGCTAACCAAAAGGCTGGCAGTTTGAATCTAATCAGGCGCTCCTTGGAAACTCTATGGGGCACTTCTGCTGTGTCCTGTAGGGTCGCTATGAGTCAGAATTGACTCGACGGCAACGGGTTTGGTTTTTTTCTTGGTTTTTGTGATGTGTATGTGGCGGTAGCTTTGGGTTTTTTTGGGGGGACTGGGGATAGCTTTGACTTTAATGCTCATTAAGGAAAAAAATGAATGCCTCTGTCTTAAGTTTTCAGTAGCACATTTCCACTCTGGACACAGAGTGGTGTGGTGGCCTTGAGTTCTATGAGAGCTTGAGGATGGGGAGAGAGACGTGTGTATTCCAGCACATTTCAGACTTACTGATGTAAATGGCACAGCCCTGGGTTCTTCTGTGTCCTCAGCTTGTCTCGCTTGGTGTTACACTGGGACATTTTGGCACCCTGCCCCCCAGAGGCACCTACAGTGGGTGAATAACATTTTGATCTGGGGTCGGTCTGTCTGAACTTACATTCAGTGGATAGCAAGAGAATATTAAATTACTCCGTGATACTAAGTAAGATATTCCAGGTCAGGCAGTTGAGCAGAAATTGATACCAATCGTGGACAACAGTGATTTAGTTATTCCCTAAGTGCTAGTTTGAAAATGGTGTGTATGTGTGAGCAATAAGCTATTTAAGTCTTGTCTGGTTTTTCTGGATAAAGCCTAAAGCAGCTATTGAAGAAAATATACTAACCTTGACATGATAGGAATGTCCTGCAGTTGCTCGGGAATGAAACCCAGCCAGTTGCTGAGTCTGCAAACATTTATTGAACACACATCATAGGCTGTTGTTGTGTGCCGTGGAGTGGATTCCAGAATACAAAGATGAAGAGGCGAGGGTCCTATCCCCAAGAAGATTCCAGAATACAAAGATGAAGAAGCCAGAGTTCTTATCCCCAAGAGGCCACAGGCTTAGCTGTGTGAGGAAGTTTGTATTTACAGGGAAGTCTGCACTTACAATTCAGACGAATCTGTGCTGGGGACGTGTATGTATGTGTATCTGGAAATGCCAAAATAATGTAGGTGGGCTCAGGTAGCATTTTCATCTTGCCAGCTTCTTTGCCTGCTTACCTGGACTTCAGCTGCACAATCTGACAGTAAGAGCATCCCGCTGAAATATTACCCTCATGGCTGGCAAAGCTTTCAATACCATAGGCAGGGTCAGTACCCTGTGTGTGTATGTGGATAGCTGGGGACACATATAGCTGTGCTTGAAGCCACCAGAGCTTGTGTTCTGATTGCTTAGTTTGTGTGAGGATGCTAATTCTAAATAATCTGTAGAGAGATTTGCTCCTAGAGCTCTGATTTCATATTTTTCGATGGTATATTTTTATTTTTGTTAAGGGAGCTGCCGAGTTTAGTTTCTTATCTTGCTTTCTAAAAGGAGCAGAACTAATTATAAGTCTATTTTGGGACTTAGCCAGTTGCTGTTGAGTCAGCTGTAACTCATGATGACCCCACGTGTGTCAGAGTAGAACGGCTCCATAGAGTTTTCAGTGGCTGATTTTTTGGGAAGTAGGTCACCAGGCCTTTCTTCTGAGGCGCCTCTGGGTGGACTCAAACTTTTAAACTTTCGGTTAGCAGCTGAGCACGTTAACTGTTTGTATCACCCAAGGACTCCATTTTGAACGGGACTGCTACCCATTTAAAAGGAACCCTGGTGGTGCAGTGGTTAAATCCAGCTGCCAACAAAAAGGTCGTCAGTTCGAATTCACCATCCTCTGCAGGAGAAAGATGTGGCAGTCTGCTTCTGTAAAGATTTACATCCTTGGAAACCCTATGGGGCAGTTCTACTTTGTCCTATACGATTGCTATGAGTTGGAATCGACTCGACGGCAGTGGGTTTCTTTTTTGCTTTATCCTTTTAAAATTATTCTTGAAAATTACTTATTACTCTATAGAACAGAGTAGAACTGCCCTTTAGGGTTTCTAAGGCTGTACATTTTTATGGAAGCAGACTGTCACATCCTTCTCCGGTGGGGCTGGCTGAGCGTTTTAACCACTGTGCCACCAGGGGTGCTATGAGTCAGAATCAACTCGATGCAGTTGACCCCGTAAAGATAACAGCTGAGAAAATCCTATGGGGCAGTTCTGCTCTGTCCCATGGGGTCGCTAGGAGTCAGAGTCAACTCCTGATGGCTCACACCACCACCTTTATCTGGAGGATGGGGTAGTAAAGGGGGAGTGGTTTAGGAAATACTCTCTAACAGGCTGCTTGTTTCCCTACTCAGTCTACGCCTGCAAGCTCTCAGACCAAGAACATCCACTCTACCTGCGTTTGGTAGCGGGGCCTAGAACAGACACGCTTAGTTTTGTTCTTCGTGAGCATGAAATTGGAGAGGTGAGTGAGTGTTCATTATTGCCTTCAAATATACAGAACAGCTGACCTCATTTTATTGCTTTAGTCTAGTGATGTTACCACTGGGGGTGGGGGGTCGGGGTGGCGGGGAGAGTCAGTGTCTGTCTGCCTGTCTGTATCGTGGGAAAGTGGTCCTGTAGAGGAAAGCTTTCTGTGTGTTTTTGAATGGTCAGAAACGAGCCCAAAGTTAGTCTACAGTATAATTCTCTTAACATTATACTGCTCGGTAATTTTCATAGGTGGGAAGCAATGAAATTTGCAGATAATCTCCACCCAGAGAGTCATTTTCACCCATTCCCCCTCCAGATTACTCTAATCCAGCTGAACTTTGAAAGTGGACACCCTCCACATGTTTGCTACTTAACAGAAGTCTCTAATTCATTCTAAAGCGAAATAGAAGGAAATTCAGTCTTCTTGCCATGAAAGACACTTTCTATCACCTTTTTACCCCCCTGCCCAGTCAAATGGTCAAGCAATTGTTTGCATATGCATCATTTGCTGTTTCTCTCCAGGGAGGACTGTATTTAGGCCAATTCAATTGAAGGAAAAAGCACTTTAGACTGTCCTCTAGATGAAGGGTCAACTTTAAATGACACTTGAGCAAATCTCTCAACCTGTGGGTCTCCGTTTGCTGTCTGGAACAGGAAATGGTATGAATTGTCCATGTTGAACAGTTCTCAATGCAGTGGGCATAGGGCTACTAGGTTAAAAGTTAGGTAACCAGGACTCTTTCTGCTATTCCTCTTGATAGATTAGAGTAAATCTTCTAATCTTTCAGTTCTGTTATAGGGAAAAAACATCACAACGTTTAGTAAAGCAGAAAGAGAGTTTTATTCAGCATATATTCAAAAAGACGAAAGTGAGAAATCGGACAAGCATGCTGCCAGAGCTAATGTCTGCCCGAATCTAAAGAAATATTACAGAACAGACAAAAGTGGGAAAACGGATAAGTATGCTGCCACAGCCAGAGTTATCAGTATATATTAACATTACAAATGGGCAAAACCATTGAAAGCTTTGCCTTTTCACAGATTGGCTAGAAACTGTGATCCTACATTTTGAGTTGTCTTTCTTAACAGTGATTTGTACAGGTTTCAGTAATGAGAGTCAGGAGGGTCTTCACTGGTCCAACTGTTTTCTACTCCCTAAATGCTAATAGAAAAAGATAAGAGTGGAAAGTCTTTGTGTTGTGTTTGATTGGCTTATGTGAAAGGCACTCTGAAAGATATTTTCCAAGATTATCTTAGCTATTGTCTTTATACCTCAGGGCCCAGTTGATGTGTCCTTGTGAGTCCTTGTGAGCCCAGCTCCAGCTGGGTCACATTCTCTATGACAAGGACAGGCAATAATGATTCTAATATTATTTCCTAAATCAGTTCTCAGTTTTAAAATCTGTAAAGTGGGACTGAAGACTCTAAAAAGTGGTTTAGTCACAAATGTGAAATGTTTGTAAACTTGCTTTATAAATACTAAATTTGTATGTAAGTGTACATTAGAATTTAAGGAGTTTTAGGAAGACATTTTTGAAGTTTCTTTTGATTCTGATGTTTTGAAACTTTAAAAATTCCAACTCATTCCGGGGAGAAAGCTGGGTGCAGAAGTCAGGTTTGGCTTTGCAGTTTGGCATATGGCAGGCAGCCTTTCCTCTGAAAGCTTAAACCAGACACATGAGCATAATCTTCTCACAGTTTTATTTTTCTTGTCATTGGTCTTTTAAGTATTGCATATATTTTAGGTAGCTACAGGATCTGGGAAGGAATTCTGTGAACTTAGTTTTGAACTTTACATTGTATTTTAAGTTCCAGGCTGCTTTAAGGCTAACTAATTGAAGGAAGAAACTTTCCATAGTTGGTCAGGGGGTAGGAGGGGAAGATATTTTATAATGTCTTTACTTTGGAGAACTTAACATGTACGAAGAATAAAATGGGGAGGGTCCTAAGAGTAGAGTGAGGAGGCCCGGTAGAAGCTGTTGCAGGGGCCCAGAAGTATGATGGTGGCTACCACTAGGGAGCAGTAGAGGTGAGGAAAAGTAGGTCCATTGAAGACCTGTTTAACAAAAAAAAAAAAAACAAAACCTGTTGCCATTGAGTCGATTCCAACTCATAGCGACCCTATAGGACAGAGTAGAACTGCCCCATAGGGTTTCCAAGGAGTGGCTGGTAGAATCGAACTGCTGACCT